CTTGTGATGGCCTGGGGGAGGGGCTAGGACAAAATGCGGGCTGTTTTTGGTCGAGTGGAGCCTCATGGGGCGAGGAATGAATGAACGAACACGCGGCTCCCTGGGGACCCAGGCTCGATGTCCAGAGGTGGGGCGATGGGCACCCCACTGGGCCAGAGGGAAAGGGGCATCTGCAAACTGAGTGGGTCCTCTCCACTTTCGGAACTGGAGGCCTGGATGCATGGGCCCAGGCGAGGAGGAACTTGGGAGGGGCAGCCACAAGCAGTTGGGGTCCCTCACAAGCTGGCCTAGGGAATAGGTAACAGTTTCCGGCCGTTTAGACTCACTGTGAAACCCGGGGCCCCAAAACCCCTTCCGAGGATTGCCCCTCCCTGCCTTGGGCGAGGGAGGCAGAACCTCCCCTACACTTCAGTCCTGGTAACGTGAGACTCAGAACAGGCGGTTTATAGGCCTCAGTTCCTCCAGAGCAGGGAATGTGTCACTGCCCTCGCCTAAACGGTCTGCGAATGCCCTAAGCCCTAACACTCCCCTGATTTTGGATTTATCATAGCCACCTGCTGAGACCCTAAAACGCCGCAGTGGGGCAGGGCTAGGGGCGGAGCCAAGAAGGTGCCCAGCCTCCCCGGGACCCTCCCCTAACAGCGTTGATGCCCAGCGTTGATGCTCCAGCCCAAATCCCGACTCCCTGACCTGGTGGGTCCCACCCAGGCAGACGCCCCGCCCCCGGCCAACTAAGCTGGCCGCTGACCTAGTATGGACACAGCGCTGGGAAGAGAGGCGTGCAGGGCGACGCCGGAAAAGGGACTTAGTCCCAGGCACCGCCTATAGACCGCCCCTCTCTCCCTCAGACGATGCACCTGCCTCGGTGTGTGTGGTGGGGCGGGGAATAAGAAGACGGTTTCGCAGCAGCTGTTAAGCTCTCCAAGAGCTAAAAATATTTCGCAACAGAAAAGAGTAAGAAAGCTCAAGGAGAGTCAATTTATTGGGGAGTGGGTGCACTTGGTCAGACCCCATTCATAAATAGGAGGGATAGGGAATTGAGGAAAAAGAAGGGGGCGGGGTGTAATCACACTGGCATCAGGACCTAGAGGACTGGTAAAAGAGGGCTCCAAAAAGGGAAGGGTAGAGTAGTAATTCCAGGGGCCCACCCTCTGGATGAAAAGTGGGCCTGATCCCAGGAATTGCAAATAGACTCAAGGGCAGATGTGGGGTCTGGTGTTGGAGATCAGATCTTCTCATCAGGGGCTGGCAGGCGCTGGCGAGAAGGTTCGACACCCCAGATCTCCCGGGCGTATTGGGCAATGGTTCGGTCACTGGAAAACTTGCCTGAGGTGGCTATGTTCCTGATCACCATCCTCGTCCACTCTCTTGGGTTCTGAAGACAGGAAGAGAATCTCTAGGTTCACTCTGCCAAGGGGCTGGCCCCATTCTCCTTCATCCCATCCAGAGTCAAAACCCTGCCAGCCCCTAGCCCAAGGCCCCTCACCTTATACAACTCACTGACTTTATCCTGGCATTTAATATATTCCTCATAATCTGCAAAGACTTTAAACCTGGAGGAGAATGGAGAGATCAGAACTCTGAGGTTAAGGGCCAAGTCCTTCTTGGTGCAGCAGACAACTGGAGTGAATGAAATTGCAACCCGAGGCAGCCTCCCACCCACCCGAGCCATTGTTCATCGGTGAGCCTCTGTGCAGCCTGGCTAGCCAGCTCACCGGTCATGGTGCATGAGCATGTTGACAATGTCCTTGAACAGGTCAGGCTGTTTGGGGGAGAAGAAGCCACTGCTCAGCTGTTCAATGATCTGCCGAAGCTCGGGAATCCGGTCATAGTACTCCTGGGCATTGTACCTGCCAGAGCACACCTGTGGTCAGCTCCCTAAAAGGGTTGCCAACTTCCCAAAAAAACCTGGGAAGACCTGAGGCTCAGGGCCTCCACAGCCACACACTGCACTCAGCTTTTCTTCACCCACTTTGTAAATAAAGACACTCAGGTCCAAAGAAGTCAGAAAAGACAAATCTGGGGCTGGAGTGCTCCCAGATGGCTCAGTGCACCCACACACACACAGACATACACCTATAATTTTAGGAATGGAAAAAAAGAGAGAGAGAGACAAGTCTTGGCTCCAGGTAAGGATAGTTCTTCCCAATGGCAGAGTGCTTTTCTGGCATGTGAGAGGCCCTGGGTTCCATCCATAAATAAATAAATAAATAAATAAATAAATAAATAAATAAATCCTTCTTCCACCATCCCAAGCCCACCTCTGATAGGCATATCCTCAGGAATGACCCTTAAACTCACACAATCAGGCCAAGCTCATTGTAGGCTGGTACCAGCTTTCTCTCACTTTCCAGGTAACATCCATCCACCCACTGCCACAAAGACTCCTTCCGTCCCTCCCTGGCTCACAGTCCCCTTACAATCAACAACAGAGGTCTCCTTCACAGTGATTCCGTGTCCTTGTGCCCTACTTTGTGTTTCTCCCTGCCTGTGCCAGCCTCCACACTGGCACTCTACCCAGTCTCTTCCGTC